CCATTGCACATCTCACTAAAATTCAACTATTTTCTGGCTAGAAGGCAAAGTATTTTAGAATTTCACGACATCGTCAATGTCATCCTGTCTTCCCCATTCTCTAAAGCAAGTTATGAATTTTTTTGCTAATTTTAATATATTTTCTAATATATATGTTTTATTATTGATTGTGTAAAATATCTTCATGATTTAAATATATATATATATATATTTGGTTCCAACAATTTTATTATTGCTTTCGAATTGATGTTCTATATCTAATCTAATATTCATTGTATACATAGATGGATAACAAAAGAGCTATGAAAAAATTAGCTCGGTTAAGAAGAATAAAAACAATTCGTTCAAACAAAATAGACGCGCAATATCCAATTTTACATCTGGATCAATTACTACAAAAATTGACAGACAATGTGAAGAAATATGTCAGTTATATGACATATCAACTGTACTGTCTACTTATTCACCTGTCCCTCTAAGAAGAAGGAGGGGAAGAGGAGGAAACACTCGTGCCGCAGAAAATACAACATCCCATTTTATTGAGATTCCTAGAGATAGGTATGTAAAATGAAATACAAATAATTTATTTTATTTTATTTATATATTTGTTAATACATGACAATTATATAGATACTTCTAATTTCACATTATTTTTCATATTTTATAATTCCATTAATTTCTTACATTCTTTACTATTTTCTAATTATATATACTTAAATTCATAATTTTGTTTAACAATCAATATACATATTAAATTTTAAAATTTTACCGGTTTATTTTATTATTTTCTTTTGTTTCATACCTACACGCTAAATTTACATTTTAAAAATTAATCTCGGTGCATTTCAAAATGTTTTAAACAAAATAAATTAATACTTATTTTAGAGTTTAATTTCTACAATATATTTAGAATTTTTGAATAATATTTATTATATTAATCTATTAAATTAGTAATAAATTAAATGTATGCTTTTTTTTTTCCTTTTTTTACAAAAAAAAATGTACTTTTTAATTTCAAGCTTTATATATTTGTGCAATGTATTTATTTCTCATACTTTTTTATTTTATTCAAAATTTTAGGTAACATTTCAACGGTGGTAGTGAATGATCAAATAATACTTAGATCATCACAACTACACTCAGTCGCTATTGCTCAAGGTTTTTAATTTATTTTTGTGATTTCAATTTGTAATAGTTATTCTAAAAATAATATAATTTTTTACAGTGTAAATATTTTCTAAAATAATATATTAATATTAATAAGAAATTAACAATGACTATAATAGTAATTAATGAAATAAATTTATACATCATTTCAATTTTAATTTCTGTTTACATAGTTTTTGAAAATTTAAAAATTAATTTAATGTATTTAAATTATCATTTAAGTCTAATTATTAATTAAATTATAATAATGACAATTCCTAAATTATTGAAACAATTAATCAATAATAAATTAATAATTAGGAAAAAAAATCAATTTTGTCCCAAATATAATTAAAATTAAACAATTTTGGTCTCAATATAACCAACTTCAATCAATTTTGGTCTCATTATTATCAATCCAACGGAAAATGCTGACGTAGACTTGACGGAGTAGACGTGACCGGTGAGCTGGACATTACAAGGCCGTATACAATTGAACACGCTCGTGTTTAGACATTTAGCATCAACCCAATTAAAAAATACGGCCATGTTTTATTTTAGACGGCCGTATACATGTTAATAGTGATGATCCGATACTCTATTAGTATACGGCCGTGTGGTTTGAGGAAAAATATAAATTTGATAGGAGAGCTACTGCTAGGTTATGTAGGCCTGTAGCCTGTGAGCAGTAATAATAATACATACATTTTTTTTTTGTTTTTTACATAATCTTTTAAAAATGTTTTTAATTATAATTCTTTTTAAATAAATATTGTAGTTATTAAAGGTGTATTTGTTTTTTTATTTTGGTTTAAAGGGATTTTTTTTTATGTGAGATATAAAAAATGTGTAAATAATATCAAAATAATTGTTCTATTCATCCAACACTATTTTTGAATTGAGATTCTCTAAACATAAGAATAAATAACACAAAATACTTTTTGCAAAAGTAAAAAAACTTTTAAATCTTTATTAAAAAATGTTAAAAAAAAAAACCAAATATTCATATTTTTGACATAATTTTTGTACCATATATAAAAAATCAATTCATGTTGCGGAGCCAATAAGTATGTGTATTATATTAATTTTTTTAAACAAATATGTTTGAATTTTTTTTTATTAAAAGAACATAGGGTGTGTTGTTTTGTGAGATTTTTGAAAAAGAAAATTTTTTATAGGAGTTATAGAAAATTATATAGGAAATATAAAAATAATGAATGTGTGTAAAATATTAATTTTTTTGAGAAAATATGTGGGAGAAAATTAAAAAGAACAAACCCACAATTTTTCATAGAATACTATCTAATATTTTATTTTTAATTAATTTTAGAATTTTTCAAAAACTTCAATTTTTTTTATTTTTTATTTTTTATCTTAACAAGGCCAAGGTATATATGTATAATATGTATATACACACATATCACTGCTGGTTTCTCATCGCAATCATTGTTAATCAGTCAATTTAATCTTCATCTTTCATCAATCTTCATCTTGGTCGAAGAAAAAGACGTACACAACAGTATAAGTATGGGATCATGGCCATTAACATGTACATGGCCGTGTAAAATATAACACGGCTGTATTTTTTAACTGGGTTGATGCTGACTGTCTAAACACAGGCGTGTTCAATTGTACACGGCCGTGTACTGTCCAACTCACCGGCCACGTCGATTCCGTTAAATCCACGTCATCATTTTCCGTTGGATTGATAATAGTGAGACCAGAATTGATTGAAATTAGTTATATTGTAACCAAAATTGATGAGTTTTTTATATTGAGATCAAAATTGATCAATTTTGGTTATATTGGGACCAAAATTGATTTTTTGCCTAATAATTATTACTTATTGTTTTTACTTATTAATTGAATCCATAATTAATCATAATTATATTCCGAATAAATAATTTCAATTATTTTTAAAATTTTAAATTAATTTTATATTTTTGAATGTTCACTGAAATATATAATTTATGGTAATTGCAATTTTGTTATTAATAAGATATATCTAAAAATTTTAAATTAATTTAATATTTTTAAATATTGTTTAAAAATTAAATTAATGATCGGTATATTTGAGATTAATTAAATTAATAGTAAACGAGAAAAAAATTAGAAATTAACACGTTTTAGCGTTGGACAAGATGAAATAATGAATTTATTAATTCTATATTTTAAATGTAAATATGTAGTTTCTTTGGATCCAAATGGTGATAATGTATTTATAGCAAATCAAGCTAGATGTTAGCAATTCTAATTTAATTATTACATTTTCATTCTCTTTGCTACTAACAATTTTCTATTCATATCCTGTCAAAAATTTATTAACATAGCAATATAAAAAATTTTGCACTGAAATGCGGCATTATTTTATTTTCCTAACGAAGGACTGATCAATGATCTACAGGTACGTAATTTCCGCATTAATTGTAACTTATAATTTAAATTTCCTTATTTCATACAAAAAAATTCAATCTCATAATAAATTTTTTATAGTTTATTCAACATTCCAAAATACATTTTCGTCATAACAAATATCATTAATTTTATTATACTTTTATTCTCCTTTGCTTAATTGATAAAAAATTTCAACCAATTAACTAATAATATGACTTATTTAATATGCAGCATTAATATTTTGCACAGAAATACCGTATTATTTTTTTTTCCCCTAACGAAGGACCTGAGCAAGACAATCTTGTAGCCGTGAATAATGAAGTTATTCTTGATCAACAATTTACGGGTATGCAATTTTTGAATTAATGGTAACTTATAATTTAAATTTCTTTATTTCTTACAAAAATTCAATCACATTATTAAAAAAATATATTTTATTCAACATTCCAAAGATACATTTTTGTATATCATTAATTTTATATGCTTTTCGATTCACCTTTGCTTAAGTTAAAAAATTTCAACCAATCAACTAATAATATGACTTATTTAAAATGCAACAATAATATTTTGCACTGAAATGCCGTATTATTTTTTTCCCGTACCAAAGGACCTGATCAACACAATTCTCTAATCGTGAATAATGGAGTTATTTTTTTTATCAACAATCTACGGGTATGTACTTTTCGCATTAATTGTAACTTATAGTTTAAGTTTTCTTAAATCATACAAAAATACAATCTCACAATCAAAGCTTTATATTTTATTCAAATATAAATATTCAAAAAAGTATAATCTTTTGAAGGACCTCGACAACAAAGTTTCGTTGCCATGAATGAGGGAATTATTCATGATCAACAATCTATGAGTGTGTAATTTTTGCATTAATTGTAAATTAAAATTTATATTTGCTTCTTTCCTTAAAAATTTAATCTCATAACAAAAAATTTATATTTTATTTAACATTCCAAATAAACATTTTTGTATTAATAAACATCATTATCTTTTAATTTTTGTTTTAAAAAATGTATAGGTATTCAGATAAATATTGATGTCAGTGACATGATAAATTGTTCCCAATATATTCTCAGAGGAAGTTTACAATGAGAATGAACAAATTAAATAAAATAATCATCAAATAGGTACGGATTATTAAATCAACAATATTATTCATAACACTTAAATTTTTGCACCATACATTTGCCTAAATAACACCAATATTTATACTATTTTAAATTCATACGGATGTTTATGTTCATACCAAAGTCAACAACCAACATGATGACGAAGGTAACAAATTATATACTCTTTTCATTACAACATGACGTATTTATATATTTTATTTAATTTAATTACTTCTCTTATAAATATTGACATTTACTTAATATTGACGTCCTATTATAAATCGTTTTATTTTAACATATTCTATAATAATTACTTAAAAATATTGTTACGTACGAAATTTAGAATTAGGTTAAAAGCCCAAGGTAAAAAGAAGAATGGGCCTGGCAATAGAGTTGATTGAACTGACTGAAGGGTACCATGAGGAAATCAAGGAAAATAGGTTTATTACTAAGGAAAGTCCTCAGGTCGGAAGGTCTTCAGGTCGGTAGGTCCTCAAGACGGAAAGTCATTAGGACGGAAGGACCTCAGGTCGGTAGGTCCTCAAGACGGAAGGACCTCAGGTCGGAAGGTCTTCAGGTCGGTAGGTCCTCAAGACGGAAGGACCTCAGGTCGGAAGGTCTTCAGGTCGGTAGGTCCTCAAGACGGAAAGTCATTAGGACGGAAGGACCTCAGGTCGGTAGGTCCTCAAGACGGAAGGACCTCAGGTCGGAAGGTCTTCAGGTCGGTAGGTCCTCAAGACGGAAGGACCTCAGGTCGGAAGGTCTTCAGGTCGGTAGGTCCTCAAGACGGAAAGTCATTAGGACGGAAGGACCTCAGGTCGGTAGGTCCTCAAGACGGAAGGACCTCAGGTCGGTAGGTCCTCAAGACGGAAGGACCTCAAGTCGGAAGGTTTTCAGGTCGGGAGGTCCTCAAGACGGAAAGACCTCAAGTCGGAAGGTTTTCAGGTCGGGAAGACCTCAAGGCGGAAAGACCTCAAGTCGGAAGGTTTTCAGGTCGGGAGGTCCTCAAGACGGAAAGACCTCAAGTCGGAAGGTTTTCAGGTCGGGAAGTCCTCAAGGCGGAAAGACCTCAAGTCGGAAGGTTTTCAGGTCGGGAGGTCCTCAAGACGGAAAGACCTCAAGTCGGAAGGTTTTCAGGTCGGGAAGTCCTCAAGGCGGAAAGACCTCAAGTCGGAAGGTTTTCAGGTCGGGAAGTCTTCAAGGCGGAAAGACCTCAGGCCAGATGGTTCGCAAGTCGGGAGGATTGGCGGTCGGACCCATACTATTGTAGATTGGCAGTCGGGCCAAAAGAGCGGAAGGTCTGTGGTCGGCTCAAAGAGTGAAATATAGGGATAATTTTGGTCTGCTGGGGACGCGTGTCAGCATGAGAAGGGTTGGAAGACGGTTGGGAAGGAGACGTTGTAACCGTTCGGGTGACTGTTTTCGGTACGGTTTCCCAGAGAATATTTAAAGGCTTGGATAATCATTTGACAAGGTATCTTCAATCAACTTCAACAAAGCAAAGTCAGATTTGGGGATCACCACTTTAAATTTCAGTCTTTTATTTTCCAGTTTATTTTCTGTACCATACAGTGTTTAGAGATTCCTAATCTCAGGCACTAATTAATCAAGTTTAAGGATATTTTCTATATCTTTGAATTTTACTTTATTTTTGTTGAAAAATTACATCAACAAATTGGCGACCACAGTGGGAGCAAGACAAAATTGCTCATTCCAATTCCGGCGATAATTTCATAAGTCTTAGATCCGGCCGTATCATCGGAAGGGTCCATATGGCAGGTTCACAACCTCAATCATCTTCGGCACCGGTGGGAGAATCCGTTCCACCACCTAATGTGCCAAATGCCGGGGAAATCCCACAACCACCAACAGATTGGTGGTCTTATGTTCAACAAATGTTGCGTGAGCAACAAACGAACATGTTGCGTGAGCAACAGAGCATGATGCAGAACATGATAGATCAAGCATTGTCAAGGGTTAGTCTTCAACCCACTCAAACTCCACCAGGAGTATCACCGTCCAGACTACAGACAAATTTCGCAGGGCCATCATTCGTGGATAGTACATTTCCAAGTGCCACAAATCCCAACCGAATGGATAGGGGAAAGTCTCCTCTGACTTTTACCAACACTGTTCCACTGGGACCAAGGGTTACCAATCCCCAGACGAACAATACAAGGGAGGACAGGCCTGAAGGATATATACATGATCCTGTTCATATTCCTGTGCAGGATCCGTTCCATGTTCCTGATCATCAACGCTTTCATGTAGATCCTGATGAGCTTGCACATATATTAAGGGATCAGTATGGATTAACTCCTCAGATGGCTAACCGCCCTGCATATCAGAAACCTTTCCCAGAAAGGGTCATTAATGAACACCCTCTCCCAAGGAATTATCGACCACCCGATTTTCATGCATTCTCAGGGGAGGACGGATCTTCCACCATAGAACATGTTGGTCGGTTCACAGCACAATTGGGAGAAGTTGGTAATAACCCTTTTTATAAGTTGCAACTGTTTGGTTTATCTCTTACTAGAACCGCGTTTTCGTGGTTTGCAAGTCTGCCCCCCGGACAAATTCAGACGTGGGAAGGACTGGAGACGGCATTTCATGCTAGATTCTTCAATCCTTTACCGACTGTTTCTTTAACAGATTTACTGGAATTGAGGCAGTATCCAGAAGAATCTGCTTCACAATTTATAGAAAGGGTGCGATTGATGAAGGGACGATGTCCTACGGTAATCAGTGAGAAAGAGATGACCAATTTAGTGGTCCGGAATATGCATACTCGCTTAAGAAAGGCGCTCACTGCCCTGGATGTTGAGGATTTGGCAAGTCTTGCATCCAAGGCAGGACGTTTAGAATCTTTGTTTAGAGAGGAAGATCAGCATAACAGGCGTAATAGAGGCCAACATATGGCGAGTATGGGAACAGAAACATGTGACTTTGATTTTAATCAATCAGAAGAGATGGCAGCCGAAATCCTTTCTGGGAAACCTTATGTATGCCCTAAGTTGAAGCCAGTACTAGGATCTGAAGGAAAAGAGCAACCGACCTTTGATAGTTCGAAAGCTGATGAAATCTTTGACATCCTACTGACTGATGGGCAGATCCGTATTCCAAAGGGGCAAAGATTGGCCACTAAAGAAGAAATCAAAGGGAGACCATATTGTAAGTGGCATAATTCTTTCACACACAATACAAGTCAGTGTACTCATTTCAGGAAGGAAATTCAAAAAGCCATTAAGACAGGTCGGCTCAAATACATCACTCTAGGTGTAGACCAGTAACCATTTCCGAAAGTAACAACGGCAATGGTTGACATCCAACCAAGTTCGGAAACAGGGAAAAGTTCGGCCAATGATGGACATACAGGGGAACGAACTCAGACAAACCCTGGAACAAAAAAGGGAAGTCAGCCAAACAGTGGCCGACCGGAAGAACGACTCAAAGTTGTTGAAAGACCAGTCGCTGAAAAATGGGACCGACCAGACGGTTCGTTTAATGTGGAGGTGAAAGAAAGGGTTGTAGTACGTGACCACCCGACCAGAAAAACAGGATCAGTCGGGAACAATTGGGCTCGAAATAAAAAGCCTTTGCCAGTTGATATAGATCCTCGTTTCCCAGGTATGAATCGTACACAGATTCGCAATGCCAAACGCAGGTATGCTGCAAAGTATGGGAAACGAGTTCCTTCAGCAAAACAACTAACCGACGAACAAAAAGCAGCCGACCGTTTGGCAGGAGATCAGTCCATTCGGGTCTTTACAGAACAAACGACCAAAGAGCAGGGAGCAGCCATTCAATCTCTAAAAAGTCGGTCCAATCGGGTCTGTTCAGGAAAGCAACCGAACGACCGATTAGGTGCTTCCGACTATACCGAAGGAAGTTCGTCGGGACAAGGGAAAGGTAAAGGAATGGCAGATGAAATAATTGAAGGTTTTAGATGCCAACATTGTGAACGGATCAACATCAATCCATCTCTTGAAGAATTCCGTATTGAATCTTTGACGGTTCAATCTCGGGATATGACAAAGGAAGAAGTAGTAACTACAGAGGAAAGTTCAAGATCTGTTAAATCTCGTCTGGGACCACGAATCCCTTGTCGAATGACAGAGATTAATCAGATGAGTGATGAACCGATGTGGGCAAGTCTGGTAGATGATACTCTGGATGAACCTTTATGGGCATTCTTGGCAGATGACGAATTAGAGGAAACAGAGTGGGCAAAGACTACAGATTCCGAGCCTCAAACGGAGGCACCTTCGATCGTGTTTCCTCCTATTCCAGAGGGTGCGATCTCCCATTTGAAACCACTGTATGTTAATGCTCACATTTGTGGGAAACCAATCACAAAGGTTTTCGTGGATAATGGAGCAGTCTTTAATGTTATGCCATTGAAGACTCTCAAGAAGTTAGGGAAAGGAATTCATGATCTGTCTCCTGTGGAATTCGAAATGACAAGTTTTACAGGGCAGCCGACTAAGCCTGAAGGCATGATGGTTGCCACAATTGAAGTCGGACCAAAAAAGATCTCCACCGTTTTCTTTATTGTGGACGCAGATACTACATACTCTCTCTTGCTGGGAAGAGACTGGATTCATGCCTCTCAATGTGTGCCATCAACCTTGCACCAACAATTAATGTTCTGGGAAGGGAATCAGGTTTTCAAAATGGAAGCGAATGATAATCCATTCGATGTGACAGAACAAGTTGAAGAGTCAGTGTTTTATTCCAGTCAGGTGGCTCCGATGTCTCAGTTGTATATGGCCAGGGAATACCCAATCAAGGGTTATAAAGTCACTGGCCAGAACTCGATGTTCTATTAAAAGAACACCTTCAATGTATGGCTCATGATAAAGCCACACCCATTCCCATATAATTTGTTTGTTATGGAAGATACAAGCTTAGAAGTATGTAGTTCTCTTATTAATAAGTTCTATTTAAAGCAATTATTACATAAAGCAGAAAATAGTAAAGAGATTCTGGATGTTCACCTCCAAGAAGATGAACAATTTCGTTGGCCCGACTTATTAGAAAAAACAGAACCAACAGCTTCATCACAAGACCCGTTATTGGAGTTTAATTTAGGAACCGAATTGGTTCCAAAAGTGATCAGGTTAAGTGGTTATTTGTCTAAAGAGCAACAAACAATGATGCTCGAAGTTATTAGAAACTACATTGATTGTTTAGCATGGGATTATTCAGAGATGCCTGGTTTGACAAGAAGTCTAATAGAGCATCGATTGCCTATCAAAGAAGGTTGTAAACCTTACAAACAACCTCCAAGGCGAATGAGCCCGGATCTAATGCCTCAAATCAAGGAAGAAATCCAAAAACTTCTCAAAGTGGGTTTTATTCAGCCTTGCCGTTATGCGGAGTGGCTGGCTAACATTGTGCCAGTGGTCAAGAAAAATGGTAAGATAAGGATATGCATCGACTTCAGGGATTTGAATCTAGCTACCCCTAAGGACGAATATGTGATGCCTATGGCCGACATGTTGATAGATGCAGCAGCAGGGCATAAAATCCTTAGTCTGATGGATGGTTATGCAGGTTATAACCAAATATTCTTGGCAGAAGAAGACATTCCTAAGACAGCATTCAGATGCCCAGGGGCTTTAGGTATTTATGAATGGACAGTCATGCCATTCGGGTTAAAGAATGCAGGGGCAACTTACCAAAGAGCCATGAATTCAATCTTTCATGATTTAATTGGCAAATCTATGGAAGTTTACATTGATGATGTTATTGTTAAGTCTGCCAGTTTTGATGAACATTTGAGGGATCTTGAAGAGGCATTTGAAAGAATGAAGAAGTACAAGCTGAAGATGAATCCAACCAAATGTGCTTTTGGAATATCAGCCGGGAGCTTTTTAGGATTTTTAGTTCATGAGAGAGGAATTGAAATCGATGCCAATAAGGCTAAAGCCATTCTTGACAGTCGGCCACCCAAGACGGTTAAAGAAATCCAAAGTCTTTTGGGTAAGGTGAACTATTTGAGGCGTTTCATTTCTAATGCTGCTGGCAAGGTCAGACCCATTACTAAATTGTTGCAAGCTGGAAAAAATGCCTTTGAATGGGGTCCCGACCAACAGACGGCTTTAGATGCTATCAAGCAGGCATTGGTTCACCCTCCAGTCTTGATGCCTCCTAAACAAGGTCGGCCACTCAAACTTTATTTGGCAAATACATATGAAGTGGTTAGCTGTTTATTGGCACAGGATGGTGATGACGGGAAGGAAAGGGCAATCTACTATCTCAGTAAAACCCTTACAGGACCAGAACTGAATTACACTATGCCAGAAAAAATGTGTTATTCATTGGTCTTCGCTTGTACTAAACTCGAGCATTATTTGCTGCCCAGAAGAATTGAAGTATATCAAAGG